TTTTTCAGCCCAACCCATTTTATCTCAGCCACAGCCGAGTACTCCAACTCCTCGATCAATGAAACACCAGGGTTCAGCTGCAGCCTTGAGTGACCTATACAATGATTCTGCAATGTCCAGCAGAGGAAGCTCACACCTTAACATGTACATAAAACCCCAAGGAAGCATCTCTACCCCTCCCCTGAGCAGAGATGAGCGGCGGGCCTTAGCTTTGAAGATCCCCTTCCCCATGGATAAGATTATCAATCTACCTGTCGATGACTTCAATGAGCTCCTGACACAGTATACTCTGACAGATGCTCAACTAGCACTGGTCAGGGACATTAGACGAAGGGGGAAGAACAAGGTCGCAGCTCAGAACTGCAGGAAGAGGAAGCTTGAAAGCATAATTCACCTTGAAAGAGAACTGAATCAGCTCCAGGCCCAAAGGGAACACCTGGCACAAGAAAGGCTCGAGTTCCAGCGCAGCTTGGCATTCGTTAAATGTCGTCTTACAGATCTTTACACCCAAGTATTTTCTCATTTGCGAGATGAAGATGGACAACCATACTCGATAGATGAATATTCTTTACAGCAGACACCAGATGGTAAAATTTATCTGGTACCTCACACAATGCAGAAGAGAGAGCCATGCTGAAGAATTGGGTAGTTTCCTTACTCTGGAGAACATTCGACCCGATTGTACCGACTTTGACCGAGTCACACAGGAAGTTGTCATAAGAATGACGTTAAGCTTCACATAAATGTATTAATGGACACTGTTCATGTTCTTTTAATGAATGAAACCAGAGATTTGTTTTTATACAAACACTTTATTAAAAAAAAAAAAAGGTTAAAAAAAATAAAATCTGCACAGCAGCCTTCTTAAAATATTTTGAGCACCAGCATGAATTTTCAGCCAACCTGTGGGGAGAAGAGAAAACTACATTAATTCAAATGTATTATAAAAAAAAATATATATATAGATGTGTCTAGAAGTAGTAATGTTAGTACCTGGCAAAAACCATTGTCACAGAAATGAGGCCAGGTTTTGGGGTCCATGTCTCGTTACCTTACCTACCTACAAAATAGAAATACTGTAAGTAAAACAATACCCCAAAAATACAAAATATTTGCTCATTTCATAGCATGCAATATGTTTGGGCCTCAATGCACAATTGGAGGCCAAATTAAGTCAAATAGTAGAATGGTCATAAAACTTGATTAAATTATTACTGGGCTACATATCTCACTACCAGCTACATGACAAAATGCAAGATATACCATCAGTAGTTGAGAAGTCTGGTCTTACCTACAAACAGCACTTAAGCCTTTTGGTAGCTGCTGCCTGCTAGACTCAGGCCTCTGTTCTCACTCTCCCCTGCTTCAATGATCCTGGCGATGGTTTTGCTACTTCTCTCCCTCAGCTTGCTTCCATGGCTAGCCTCATAGACTTTGCATGTAAGCTAGCATTCTCCAGGTGATCTTTGCAGAAATCAGGGCAGAGCTTGTACCAAAGTGATGGGCTTTTTCTGATGATGGCATTTGCGCACCATTTCTTTGCCCGCCCTTTAACCAGTATTGCATATGCACTGACCTGAGCCAGCATGTAGGAGACACTGATATTGACTTTCCCCGGCCACCTTGTGATGTATATGGCTGAACCCATTTTCACCTAATAGTAAACCCTCCCTTTCCCAAAACCACTGAAAAGGCTAACGAGACTGTTAAAAAAACTGAAAGGTGTTTATTTCAGCTTGATTTGATGCAGTTACAAATAAAAACCAGACTTGAAGATCTACACAAAACCTCATTGGAATGCTTGCTTTCCATTAACACAATTGACGAAAAAAGAAAAACATAAGACAAAATGTTTAAATGAAGGCCCTCCATGATTTATCTACTGTACATCTCTTCTTGCAGCAGCTGTAACCTGCCACAACTCATAGGCTGAGCAGATTTAGGAGGTAAACCTGCAGTTGCCCTGTCACTTCGCTTGCTCTCCTCTCCTTGCTCTCCTCTCCTAAGTACTCAGTCCTGTTGAACAATACGGAACAACATTGTTAACTGTGCACTGACTTTGTGACCTGACATCCAGAGTGAATTTGTTTAAAGGTTATCTGCACTCAATGATTCCCTGCTCACCACAAGCTGTTGTTTTACATTAAAAAAAAAAAGAGAGACTCTTAAGGCATGCTCTCAAGCTCTTACCACTTTGTCATTTTAAAATCGTCCTGGACGTCCACCATAGCCGCTGTTGTTTGAGCCTCCGTATCCACCTGGAAGCAAAAAAACAAAAACAAAGTCAAAACAAGAGGTCAGCATACATAAAAGCATCTACTTGTGAAGTCTGGGAACTCATACCAAAGTTCCTGCCGCCGCCGCCACCACCACCAAAGTTGCCCTTCATGGGGCCAAAGTTAGAGGCCTGGGGGTCGTAGTGGCCCATGTTGTTGTAGTTATTGCCGCCACCGCCGCCTCCACCACCACCACAATTGCCTGTGATTACAGAGTTTGTAGGATTGGTCAACCTCAAGCAAGTTACAATTCTAGTAAAAGGCAGTGTAATGGCATTATCTTACCATAACCATTGCTGTCATAACCGTTTCCTCCATATCCACCACCCTGGTTGTAGCCCTGATTGTAACCACGGTTACCTCCATTATAGCCACCAGGACCACCAGGTCCACCTCCATAGCCTAAAAATATAAGACAGCCTTAAAATACACTGTGGAATTTAAGAAATGCAAAGAAAATAGGAAGACACGACAAAACCATGCTCACCACCATCACCCCCGTTGCAATTGTAAGGACCATCTCCATATCGCCCCCTGCCACCTAAATAAGATAATCATATGGTTTGCTATCGCACAGTATAACAATCACTCCACTATCAACAAAATAAGCCGTACCTTGATTGAAGCCCCGGTCGTAATCATAGGGCCTGCCACCAGTGTTGCGACCTCCTCTCATTCCCATACCCATTCCTGCACTCTGCATTTCCTGCTTTGTGAGGGCCTTCCTCACCTCACAGTTGTGAGAGTTGATAGTGTGGTATTTCTGGACTGTGGAGAGAATTTTTTGTAAACAAGCTAGCCAACAATCAAAAGTCTGACAAAACAGTCTGGGGGAAAAAAGTCAACTTCTGCACTTACTGACAATCCGATCAACTGAATCGTGGTCGTCAAACGTAACAAAGGCAAAGCCCCTCTTCTTCCCAGTGTTGCGGTCAGTCATGATATCAATGACCTCTATTTTGCCAAACTGCTGGAAATAATCCCTCAGGTGTGACTCCTCTGTGTCTTCTTTGATGCCTCCAACAAAGATCTTTTTCACAGTTATGTGGGCTCCTGGTCGGTTTGAGTCCTGGAATCAAAGACATTTGTTATTGTTATGCGCCTTTTGAATGCAAGAACAATTGCACCTCATCCAGTTGTTACACACCTCCCTGGAAACAGCTCGTTTCGGTTCTACCACTCTTCCATCGACCTTATGGGGACGGGCTGACATGGCAGCATCAACTTCCTGCACTGATGAATATGTTACAAAGCCAAAACCCCTGGATCTCTTGCTGTTGGGGTCCCTCATGACCTGAAAGACATGCTTTTGGATTAGCCAGTAACCAACGTGCTCCACATTATTGCAAAACCATGACCACTGAAACATGACTACATCTTTAATGAAACCCGACTTACCACGCAGTCTGTAAGAGTCCCCCATTGCTCAAAATGAGCACGCAGGCTTTCGTCTGTCGTCTCGAAGCTCAAGCCTCCGATGAACAGCTTGCGGAGCTGCTCTGGCTCACGTGGGACCTATACAATAGACAAAGCAATGCAATAACATCTGATTAGCTTCTCCAATGTCGGCTTTAATGTAATACAACCATAACTTTAATGTGATAGTAGTATTAATTAATGCTGTTCACCGTCTACATACATCCTTCCCTGCTCCCCTTATTTATATTCAGGGCGTGTGGAGGAGGGACACACCGCCGCCATTAACGTTAGCAAAGCCGCTGAAAGACCAGCGAATAGGGCAAATATTTTAAGTACTTATTTGTCAGAGTAAGCCGTGATTTAAATGAGTGTTGCATTTAAGCGTGATTTCCCATCGTAAATGTTGATTCAAAGTCCTAAATTTCCACTGCAGCTCACCCGCAGGAACAAAAGGCCACGAGGCCTGGCTGCTATAAAATGGCGGCGTTTCAATACAGCTACGACCCAAACCGGAGACTGTACTACGAATCAAAAGCATGCCGCAACTTCATATTTCCTACCTTCTCTAACATAAAACAACGCATGCAATAACAGAGCAGTAGTCCCGAGCCCAGTACTCACACTCTCTCTCGACATGTTGCAGATTTAGCCTTGAAGACGTGTTGTGTAACTTGCGAAGAGCCGAGATCTGCGTCAGACGAGCGTAGCCTGCTATTCAACAGTACAATAAATAGCAACGGTACCGCCCCTGTCGCACGGCAATTGGGCAGCTATTCCCGCTGCAGTTTGTCGTCCGCAGTGATTCAATTTTGATTGGGCCATATAGAATCAATCATTACCAACATCCAATCACCTGGTGTACAATGACGACAATGAAAAAATGGATTACGGTTGTTGTATGTGAAAAGGAAAATTTGAAGAAGGTATCGAGTCTGTCGTGTATAACGGCTTTAAGTCAGTAAGCATACAGTGGGCACAGCTCGCTAAGTTATGTTCCTGGAAAACACAAGGAAGATGGTCAGTTTTTTAGATTAAACATCATACGAACCGTAAATGATTCCTTTTTTGATTTGTGGGCGGAAGCACAGCAGCCTTGTACAGCAATAGCCCTACCTCCCACATTAACATACACACCTTCTTATCAAAGAAAAATATTTTCTATACAGAGTGCACACGTATTAAGATAAAAAAAAAATCCAAATTGTTACAGAATAAACTTAAAAACACGATAGAAGCACATTCAACCACTTTATATGAAGATCATCAGCTGACTGAGGGGCGGGTCAGTTATTGTGCGCTTTAACGCGCGCTTTTTTGCGCACAGCACCTTTGTGTGTATGTGTGTGTGTTGTGCTAGCTGCTAAAGTAGCTGAAAGGTTGGCCTCGCCGCTCCTCCACAAAGACAGGGTTTGACGGGTACAGATCGACGGTTGGGACCTCCAGAAGAGTAAGACACTATTTTTTGCAGTTTCATGCCGCTGTAGATATGGGCGCATGGTTTGATAGCATAGTAGTTTAGCTCGATTTAGCGGTTGCTTGCAGGCTACCTGCTGTAGCAAGTTTTCATTTGCTTTGCTGCTAGCGCCATTCAGCTAGTAGCCGTCGTCCTTGCTATTTGTACGTTTTTGTAGTAACAGTGACCGACTTTTCACCGATTTAGCGAGTAGATTGCGATCTGGATATTTAGCTGCACTGTTTAGTTGGTCTTTTTAACGTTGCATGTTGCAATTAAACAAACTATAACGATATTAAGCCTCTCGTTGAAATATGATAACAATCTTGCTAGCTGTGGCTAATTAGCTAATGTTAAAGTGTTACCGATCTGTAATTTGTAGCTGCTTTGCGATTGGAGTGATGTGGCTGTGTAGCCATTATTCTTTTTAAAAATTGGTGCGGTTTTTTTTTATTAACTAGAGCTAGTGGGAGAGCGATCAAAACTCAAATATCTTTAACGCGAGCTTTTCCGTTCTTTCTAAACAGGGAAGTGTCACCTGCAACCGCGTTGTGTTAAGCACCAAACTTTACCATGGGCAAAAAGTCTCGCGGAGAAGAGTCTTCATCCTCTGATGAGGAAGAATATGTTGTGGAAAAAGTGCTGGACAGGAGGGTGGTGAAAGGAAGGGTTGAGTTCTTCCTAAAGTGGAAGGGATACTCGGAGTAAGTAATTAAATAAATGTACTAACAACGGTCATAGCTCCCATAGTCAAAAATCTTTTGAATCTCTATTAAAATTAAATGTTGTAAACAGTTGGTCACATTTTGGAGTAGGTAGGTTATTGGAGATTGCTATTCTAACACTCGGGTCCAAGATGCACCCAGTGCACAACAGAACAGCTCTCTTAGACACAGATGCTGTCATCTAAAGCACAGTAATGACCATGAAAGGAACATTAGATTATAGTGTTTTAAACATTGCAAGATATCAAATTTTTTAGCATATCTTGCAGTTTCCAATCCAAACTGGTGCATTAAGGCTGCACTGATTTTTCTGTTCTGTGCTCTTTCTCAGCAAGCACAACACATGGGAACCAGAGAAAAATTTGGATTGCCCTGAGCTTATTTCAGAATTCATGAAGACCTACAAGAAAAGCAGTGGCGGGACCTCCACACCCAGCAGTGGGGCCAGCAAATCAAACACGGCCGCCTCTGGACGCTCCAAAGATTCTAGCAGCTCAAAGAAGAGGAGCTCGGATGATGACGAGGAAGGTGGAAGTAAGCCCAAGAAGAAAAAAGAGGTAAGAACTATTTTTGGCTGCAGAAGCAGGATGTCTAGAACTTGAAATGTGCTGCATTTGGCTTCCTTTTTCACTTGACATTAAGTTAGCACAACACATTTATCTAAGGTGTGTGGAAACTGAGACTGTTTACATTTAAAGACAGCTGGTGTAAATTCAAGAGTTTAATACAAAATCCAGATTTCTAAAGTAATTTTGTTCGGGGTCTTTCAGGATGACATTCTAGTCGCACGTGGCTTTGAGAGAGGACTTGAGCCGGAGAAGATCATTGGAGCAACAGACTCGTGTGGAGACCTCATGTTTCTTATGAAGTGGTAGGTTCTGAAAGTCTTGATTTAATTTTGCCTTTAGTTTTTGTGTGAAATCGATCAATAAATGCACCTAGTGTTAGAAATCTTCTTATATGCACAACCATTCAGATGCAGGCAGTTCTTCTGCTGTATGCAGGCTGTACTGACATAATTCTTCTTACACTCTGATATTTCTATTTGTAAATTGCCTTTAGCAGCATTTATAGCTTAGCTGGCCTATGGTATGTAATTGCATATTATCTTGAGGGATAAGGGTAGTACACTGTTGTTCATCCTTGGTCAAGCCCCGTTTAAGGGTTAATGTCAGATAATAGTTGTAGTAGTTTAATAGTAGTTTAATTTATCACAGAAAGCTGTACAGTTCAAATTTCTTTTTCTTTTAATTTCTTGTAAGTTATTTTAAAAATCACTTGCAGCAGATGGAATTTAAATGCACTCCATGTAATTAATGTAATGTGTGAAATCTTATGCTACATTTTAACTAGTTGGACAAAATTTGCATGTTGCAAGTGTTTTGAAAACGGAGATATTATATCTTGGTTGTGCAAAGACACAAACCCAAGCGGTAATTTTAAACTTTCTCTTTCCAGGAAAGACTCTGATGAGGCTGATCTCGTGCTCGCAAAGGAGGCCAATCATAAGTGCCCACAGATTGTCATAGCCTTCTATGAGGAACGTCTCACCTGGCATGAAGACAGTGACAAGAAGGAGAAGGATGCAGTCAGTGCGTGAGTGTATCGCCTCAGGAGGAAACGGGACCTCTTCACTGCAGGGACAACCTTGAGTCGGACATTTTTCACATCCTAAACTCCCAACCTTCAATTTTTACCATGTCCAGCAATGACACACACAAATTTTGGACACTGTGTTATCTCCATCCAAGCCTCATTGGAGCACACGGGCCCAGACTACTAAAAAGGATCCATCATTCAGGAGGAGAAGCTGTAGTTGACATGGGTGATATGCTACTGGGGAGAGTTTATACTATTCTGTCTTTGTATTCTTTACTTTCTTCAAAAAAAAAAAAAAAATTTAACACATTGTTTTAGTGCTTACAGGATACGATTATGTTAGTGTTGAAAATCAGAGTTGGTAAAGGCTGTGTTAACCCAGAGTGTGTTCCATTGTGGGTTCACAACTTTTAATTTGCTATAAACGGTGTACCTCTTCTTTTTAAGAACCCAGCTGACACCACAAAGATGGAAACATTTTTTATTTTTTAAAGTCAGGAAGCCGCCGCCGCACTTTCCTGACTGCATAATCGCTTCCTTTTAAAAGGAAAAACTTCGATATCATAGGTTTCTCATTTGCCAGGATGGATTTACTCAGTTTTTTCATAATGTAATTCATAATGTAGTGGTGGGTTGTTTTTTGTCTTGTGTGTGGGTGTTTTTTTTTTTTTTTTTAAATAACAAAGTTTTATTTTCACGTTCAAATATACCGGTCTATACAAATATACATTACCACATCAACAGCTAACCCAAAGGACAGTAAAACCAATTATGCACATTTTTTTTTCCCTTTTAAATAAGCGTTTTTGTTTTGTTTGTTTGTTTTGGGGTTTTTGTGTGTTCAAGTCTGACAATCTTCTATGTATCCAAGTGAAATGAAGCCAGGGTTGTGCCTGTCATTAGGGTCTGCCACCTTGTGGCCAAAAGATGTAAACCTTGAATGTGTGACCAATCCCTATGACAACCCTGTGGTTTTAATAGTTGTTGTTAGTCATCTTTTGATTTTTATGTTAAATGGTTATTGACATTGCCATAATTTCAAACATTAAAGCAAGCTTTGAACTGAATTGGTCACATCCTGGGTTCTCTTGTGTTGACTCTATTTGTTCTTAGCTTAAGATTTCTTTTATTTTACTTACATTTTTTTTCTCTTTCTTTTCTGGGACCTGAAAAGCACCTCCAAGCTTTTATACACTAGATGGATGTCAGCTTTGCAGTTTGATCTGTTGTGCTCCAGCGTGGACTCTTGGGACCAAATGTTTCGTGTCTACCGAATAAAATCTGTTTTATTTTTGATTTAAATTTTTTTTTTTATCAATGTTTTTAGCTTTAATTGGCATTGTGAATGAAGGCTGTGCACCTCTCCCCTTTTCATATGTACCATACACAAATTATGTCCCTTGATATTAACTTAGATGATCCTTCTGGTGTCGATTCCTTTAATAACAAGTATTTGGTTCCTGAATTATTATTTTTTATTTTCTTTTATTTTTTTGCCAGTGCAGAATTTTTAAAATGTAGACTATTTCTTGTGTGAATGAAATGTTGTGAGTATGTGTACAGTAGCACCCTTTAATAAACATTTTCAGTGTTAAAGTTGCTGTCGGTTTCATTTTAGACTGAATATTCCATTCACAAAGCATTTAAGTCAGAAAATAATACTAGAAATTTCTTGAATATAATTCGTAAGAACTGTTATGGAGGCAAACTGTAACTTAATATCTGGAAGTTTCCTACCTGAGGGAAAATCACCATCTTGGCCGGATAACATATGATGGGTATCATTACATGGGCTTGTTTCTTTTCAAAGTGAAACGACTTTTTATCCGTTAAAGGTTTAAAGCGCAATGGCTGCTCTTCCCCAGCAGATGGTGCTGTTAATCAATAGCAATCCAAAAGTAAAGGTATTTTTATGCAAGTCATTCACAGTTCAAACTCTTAAAGTTGCTCACATGAACAAGTCATAAATGGGTGTTTATGGATTTTTATGCAGCTTTTTGAGGTCCAGGGATTCACAGTGTGTTTACCATTTCTGCTGAAGCCATCCATATCTCCCCAACTCATAGAGCTGATTAAAACATCTGTTAAATTAAATTAAGATACTTTATCTATATCTAAAGTGGCTCACAACACATAAAACAAAAATCCAATACAATTAGTCATTTTTGTTTTGGTGCTCATATTAATGTTTAAGAAAGACAGATGAAGGAATAGCACACAATAAAGGTTAGATAGAAACTTCAGTTATTATGGCTCATTCATGGTTGGTGCCTTAAACCCTTAGGCCACTGAAGCAATCCACTTCAATTTCATGATGCAGCCATAAAAACAAATATGCATCGCTGCAATATGTGGGTTTTTTTTCTTCTACTTGAAACTCAAAGAAAAACACAAGCAGGGAGTTGAAGCTATGCTAAAACCAGACTCTAAGCATGTGAGAACAAATTATAATTCCCTTTATCTGGCAACCATAACAAATTATGAAATAACTAAGTGCATTACAATACGAGTTGTTAATTTTTATTTAAAAAAAAAAATGGTATATAATATAAGGTAAGAATAATGTCGCTCCTATACGGACCAGCTGCAAGATTAGTCATAAACCGCAGTGAAGGTGTAGTCTTGTTCTTCTCGCACCACCATCTTTTTCTTTCTTGCTGCCCTTTATAGCAACTCTTTTTTACATGCACACACACACACACACACACACACACACACACACACACACACACACACACACACACACACACTGTGCTGCTTGGCTACGTCTAAAGTGATGGAATTTTCCTTGCAAAAAGGCTTTTACACTCCAAATGGAATGCAAAGGTCACTAGTAAATATCCAGCCCCTGGGACCATTAAGCTGGGCAAAGAGAGGGAGCAGCAGGCTGTTTTATGGAGCCTGGAGCTGTCTGCTCACAAACCCAGGCCAGTATGGGTTTGGTTGGGAAAGACACTGTGCATTAACAAGAGGCTCTGGTGACTATGTGTGGCAAATGCAGTACAAAGTAAAGGCGGCGTAGAGGGTATTTGATCAGAAGGATGTAAGTGTAAAGCTCCATCAAAGCTTGAAATGCTTAAAAAGTGTTGGCTTTTCAGGACACAGATTTTTGACGCTGCAAAGAAGTACAACTTGACATTTGTAATATATAAAATTTATAAAACCCTTAACGCTGTTTTTTGCCATGGGAATCATATTCTGGTGTAAATGTATTTATTTATTCGCAGCAGCCTCTCTGCACTTCAAACATACTTCCCCCCGCTAGTAACTTCTAGTGCAAATGAGTTCCACAGGGTACTGTCCACAGCAGAGGTGGGCCGTCTTGCTGCACACTGCACAAAATGAGCGTCGGGGGAGCTACTGTGCAGCTGTGGTGAGGAAAGGGACTGCAGCAGTGGGGCCTCATCAGAGTTACAGCTTGCTCAGGGATGCCACAAACAAATAAACATGCGCTCGTGGAGATAACGTGAGCACAAAAAGAGGAAAGATTCACCTTCCTCTGTCAGTCTCAGCAAAACTACGAAAAATTGTGGGAAAAAAGACAAAGCGTCGTGAGTCACAAGTATCACACAGGCCGGTGTAATTTGATGTGGCCTTTACTTGTGCTGTGATCATGTAGACACAGCTGCGCCTCCTTGATCCAATCAGATAAAAATGTCTGCGGCGACGACTGCATCGGCGTCGTCTCGAAGCGCACTGATCTGTGTGAAGGTGATTGCGGCGTGATGCTCTAATTTGGGTGCCCATCACACTTAATGCGCAGTAAAGCACCACAGACAAAGCTTCTTCCTTCTAAATGCCCCCCCACCCATGTGCTGCTCCACAGCTCTCACCACCAACCTACTGCTGGCTGTGTTTCCCCTTCACCGCCACCACCACCCCTTCACATCCCCTCCCCAACACTCCTCCCTTCATCTCCTCTCCCCACCAGGGGGAAAGAGTTATAGCTGCCATAAAAGGCAGGTAATGCATTGTTAACTAATTCTGTCTGCTCAGAGCTGATATATCCTCTGCTCTAAATCTCTGTTCCTCCAATAAAATGCAAATGCTAATGCTTGCCCTCCATGAGCTGATATCATTTTTAACAGGCCAGAGGTAAATGCTGGAGAAGGGTGGGGTAAGCCAGAGGTAGTCGGTGACATGGCAGGGCTTTGAGCTTTCAGGGTACACGGCTTGTTATAAAGGAGACCTGCTCCGCATACCTCCGACCAGCAAGTATGCTGCACATGTGGCCACAGGTACCACTGTAAGACCGCAGCGGTGTGGTGCAGTGTATCGAGAGGCCGCGTGCACGCGTCTAAGCAGCAGCAGCAGCTAAGCTTCTAATAGTTTAAAGCTAGTGTTGCATCTTTGTTATTTAGAAGCTTATCAGTCAGTACTCACTCACCGTCAAATAGAAAGAGGAGCCAATTTGCCTGTGGATGTAATGCATCATATTTCCATGTTAATAGTAGTGTCATACTTCGTGTAACCTTGGGCTTCTAAATATTGATCCACTTCTAGATTTTCAATTATCCTGTGCCGTTTTTCTGCCATCTGGTAAGGACCAGTGATTTGTGTTCCTTCATATCTGGAGGCTTGTCCTGTAATCAGACCATAAATTAATTTGCAGAGAAGAGAGAGAGAAAGAGAGAGCACAAAAGATTGAAGGCATTAAGTGAGGCCTGGGTTGTTGGAGACAGAAAATCATAGGAAACCACAGCACAGTGTTTTATCCACTATAGAATAAGATTTTTTTTTTTTTTTTTTGGGGGGGGGGGTTCAGGCATGTGTCACTTTTTTTTCTCAGCTTTTTAAAAACCATGCTGCTGCTAATGATTGCTTGTAAGTCACTCCTTCAGTAAACTGCTAGAGATCATCCACTGACATAATTATGCCTAATTGCTCGCAGTGCAATAGCAAAATAATAAGGAAAAATTGAGAGCATTACTGTCAAAATGGATGTGAAACTTTGAAGTGAAATCTGCTGTGAACCCATCAGTGGATTGAAAATGACCCCCTCTGAAGGCAGGCAACAGTTACGTGCTTCGAACTGAGTTCTTATTTACAGCACAGCTTAAGTGGAGCTCCTAAAAAAAAAGAAAAAACTGTGCATTTTTACTGATTTTAAATTGGTAGTATAGGCTCTCCTGCAAGATTATCTCATTGTCCCCTGCTGCTAAATTACACATAGAGATTGTGGCTGTCGCTGCAGAGTGTTTGAGCAGTGCAACAGCAGCTCTCTTTGCCGTGCAGAAATTCACATTAGACAAGCCTAAGTTACTCGCTTGAAGCAATTAAGAGAAAAATTGCGTAACACAATGGGCTTCACTAGGGGTGCAAAGTGCTGAATCAGCAGGGTCTGAGTTTAAAACACTGTATGAAGACATAATCTTAAGCGGTTAAGGGTAATGTGACAGTAGGCTGTAGAATACTGCATTGCTGTACCTGCTCTACATGATACCTTGGGTGCTTTAAAGCAAGGCCACAGCTGCCGGCATGCTCTGATCATATCTTGCGGGGCTCCAGAGGCAAGGTCAGCCAACACAGAGCCCACCTGCTCCCCCATTCTCCATCACGGAGTCCCTCAGCCCTGGCCTCCCGGAGGGAACATGCCTGACTGCCGTGGTCGTACAGACAGCATGTGTCCCTGAATTTATGATGGCGACTTATTGGCGGCCTTTCACGTAAAAAGTCATCTTGAGTTTCCCAGTCTGGCTGTATGTGTGGTGAGCGTTAATCCATTAACATTCAGGGCAAACACGTACTGAGCCTGGCTTTCTGCCAGCTCAGAGCCCTGACAGTCTTTGACCCACCGCTGACCACAACATTCTCCCAGCCTTAGCCAGTCTTGACATAATACAGAGCCATAAACTATCTAATGTTACCATGTATATGAATGTGAAGCATTATATGCCTGAGGTAATAGAATGCAAGGCTTATAACCAAGTGAAAAGGGCCCAGCTGCAATAGGCTCATTTTCTTAGAGTAAGGAAAAAAATCACATTTGTCTACCGTAGAAGTTTACACATATTACAGTGAGCCAAATGATCATGAAGTTTCAGTCCTTTCTATTTCCATCAAGGAT